GGCAAAAACAACTTTTCTTAAACACTCAGCTCTAGTTATGTAAGCTATGATTATGCCTATACCTGTCTATCCTATTAATAATCAAAATGTGCATACATTCAGCAGACTTGGCAACATCTCTGCAGTAGCAAGACCTAGAAATATTTTAAGTGTGATTATTTACAGTTTTTATCATCAAAACGAACTATTGTCTCTTTTAAAGATTCTAACAATTCACAAAAAGGCATCTTGAAAAAGTCTCTACCAGATTCCCCAATTTTTCAGGTTTTTGTTTTATTTTGATTTTTTTTTTTTTTGACTCACAGAAAGAAACTTTGGATTTAAATACGATTTTCGTCTTTGGAAGTGTTATAATTTTGCCTGTATTAGTAACTAAGTTCATTACCCAGAAGGTGAGAGGGTTATCTAGGTTCAAAAGATTGACCTAATCAGAAAAGGACTGCACTAAAACCATGGTCTCTTCCCTTTCAGGGTAGCCATGAGGCTCTGGAATAGATCTCCTGAGATCCTCCTGAAGGAGCTGTTTTTATTATAAGTTGTATTATTACAAAGTAGAGTAGAGAATAGGTGAAAGGAAGGACATTAATAGTTGTGACAAATAAGTGATAGATCCCACTCCTTGAATGTTTATAATTTCATACAAGACAGAAGTATGCAAGTAAGAAAGAGGAATAGTACCCTTCTCAGATTGGTAAGCAAGCCTTTCCACTGAGAGCTAAGAGTCCTTATCCTATCTGCAAAATAATCTTCTTATTAATATTATGTTTGATCTTGTGCTTTGTATTATTGAAATTCATATTAATCTATTAATCTGATATTCAGCTTATCCAGTTATGACTTTTTTCCTGCTTTCTCAGTCCAAAGAGCTGGAAATAACGTGATGTCACAGAGAAAAGTGGTTTACGGTGTGGTATTGAAAATAGCTACTGCAAGTTCTGGTGTGTGATATGAAGTCTGAGAATGCAGAGCCTACCAGAATTATTTCTGAAGAACTGAGGAAAACCATTCTGGCATAGTCACACCTACACAAACTAGACAATTGTTTCTGGAGTAGACTGTTATCAAAATAGCATCCAGCATCTATTTTTGGCTCTCTGGAAAGAGGTAGGGATAATTGGGAAGTCAAGAACCAGGACTGGATTAGTTAGTTAATTGACAGTGTTGATGGGCTATATCCTGAAAAGGTCTTTGATATATCTTAATAGAATGATGAGCAGTCAGTATGCAAGTTTCTGTTCCCCCTACACCTATATACCTCTGCTATGTAATCTGTGTTAAGCAATGGATGGAGAATGGACGGAAAATAAGGAGAATTATTAATTTGTCAGCCCACTGTAATGAGAAGGAGAGTGCATGCAAGAAGTGTAGAAGAGAAATAATGGATTGGCTGTTAAATAAGAAGAAAGAAAAAGTATTATGCAATTAGATTCCCTGCAGAGGTCTAGCTGTTTCTGCAACAGAGATGTCTGCACAAAGCATTTCACTCTCTATGTCATGATATATTAAACTGTGTGCTAAATCTTACATTTCTATCTTTTCAACCTGTCATCAGTAGGTCTCCTGCAATTATCAGTTTGACAGGCTTGTCTAGCCCAGCCCCCAGCATTGTTAACTCGGGAAGAGAAGACAAATTCCAGTCAGAACAAACAGTGAAAGAGAAATATTCCCCATGGCACGACAGAGTCTATACCAAAGTCAAAGAGGCCGTGAGGTTCATACCCAAATTTAGCAAATTTATACAGAGTCATAGATTTTATGGCCTGAAGCTACAGCTGTGATCTTGTAGACTGACTTTCTGCCAGAGGAACACAAAATTTCACCCAGTCGTCTCTGCCTTGAGGACATGCCTTCTCATTGAGTTTGAACATGTCTTTCTAAAAAGTATCAGTAGAGATATGAAAACTTCAGGTAACACAGGAACTACTAACATAATTCCAATAATTCCTTGCTATCACTGATTTAAAAAGTTGAACATTGTCCTTTGTCTGAATTTGTCAAGTTGCTATTTCCAGTCATTGGATCGTGTTATTCCTCTGTCAGTTAGGGTCCTAAAATCTTCTCTTTATGCAGATACTTATACCCTATGATCAGATTACCTCTTAGGAAAAAAAATACACACACACACACACACACACACACACATATATATAAATAAACCTTACATCTCTCATGGAATTTCCAGTATGTTTTTGTAATTTCAAATAATTCCTTTTTAGTTATTTTAGCAGTTTCTCCATACTTTTTACATCATCTACAAGCATAATATCTGCCTCCGCTAGTTTTCATGGATGTACCGTTAGAGTAAGTTGCTACCAGCTGTGAGTAAAGGTGTTTCAGTCTGTTCCACTTTGCATCTACGCATCTCAAATATCTACAGGTGTCAAAACAAAATTTAAAAAAGGAGACAAACCATTTAAAATAGGTATAATAATACTCTCATGAAGTGCAGCGTATTATTATTATTATTATTATTATTTAACTACATTTTGAGCATTAATGTAATGTATTTACATAGTCCATAAAGGTGAAAAAGAAAACAGCTGAATTGATAGCGTAATAGCTAGTGGTAAATGCAAAGTAAAAGATATTAGGGGAAAAATCTGAAGTAACTTTGCATACTAGAGAGTTCTACATTCATTGGATAAAATCAGCAAAATTCTCATTATAGAGAAGTCAGTAAAGACTGTCTTCAATATAAAGTTTAATTAAAGACTATAGCAGGAAATGTAGAGGGAAAATCCGTTATATTTATCAAGTTTATCAGTTTTGATTGTCATTTCAGAAAAAAAAATAAAGATTTTAAAGGAATGCAGGAAGAACAGTACTGTGGTTAAAAGAAAAGAACAGATTTTCTACAAAAAGTGATTGAAATAATTAGAATGGCTTAACTTACAGCAGAGAAAAAGGAAGGGAGTAAAACACAAACATGAAAGGATATGATAAAAGAATATTAAATAATGAAAAAGTTAAAAAGATTAAACTGAGAACAACCCTTCTTTTTCTGTCCTAAAAAAAAGAGCAAAGAAGATATTCAAAGGTGTAAAAGGTGGAAATTCAAAACTGATGAAAGGGAAGTGTTGTCTTGCATCACTGCTACACTGTGAAAATCACTTTGTGATAATACAGCTGACTTTATATGTAAAGGTGTGCATGTGTGTGTATTTAGACCCATATTATAAATGCACATATGCATATAGAAACATTCATTCACCTAAACTTTCTTTGAACATGTTTAATTTATATTATCCCAACAAGACTGGGAGTTTCTATTTAACTATTCGTTATGTGAAGAATATATACATAAACAGCTAAAGTATATGGTGTTGTTATAATAAATATTAGGAAGTATTTTTTGAAAGATGTAAACTTCATTCTTCATGATTCAGACACATACATAGCTATTAAATATTAAGGTAAGAAACAAAACTATCCCCTGTTTTTCAATGGATTCACTGAAATATCTCCTCACACATTTGGTATTGATTGCTTTCTGAAATGAGATATTGAGCTGGACAGACCATGAATACAATTTAGTATTTTCTTTAATAGTCTGGAAAAATTAGAGCTTAAACATGGTTGAATAAAAGTGCTTTATGAGTCTTTGGATCAGAAAAAAATGGAAAATGACTTCATAGAAGATCCTACAGAAAAATACTCAGCTCAGACTTTATAAGTAGGAAAATTTCAGTAAGGGTTAACACAATTTTAAATTTGTTGAGGAGGTTTAAAAAAAAACTCATCAAATTGAAGAAATAAGATTGATTTGAGCACTAAGATGTAAATTGTTCAAACTCTGTTTATTAGCCTTGAATGAGTGACATTTCTTAAACAGAACAAAACACTGTTCTATCCAGAAAGTGAAAACTTTACATTTTTTCTTATCTTAAAAGTAGACTTTTTTAATAAGAAAAAATGAGCTAATTCTTTGGGACTTTAATGAAGTTATTTTTTCTGACTTTATGGCAAGTTCACTTCTAAACTGACTTATGAAATAGAATTGGATATAGTTTGAGATTTCCAGAATACTCTTCATTTAGGATCATGGATTCATAGAGCAGAAGGACTGAGTTTACTGTATTGTAACAAATTGTGTTTAGCTATATCTTATCTTGCAAAGCCTTCTAGTTGTAAATGAAGATACTGAGATAAACAATTCATCGGTTCCTTTGAAGAGTGTAATTAAAACCCCTCATAGTGAAAAAATTGTCTTTTATTTAAATTTGTGCTGCTTCCCAGCTTTGGATCCTGTTTTGCCTTTCTTCAGTAGATAAAAGAATATCAAATATATTTTTGTTTTCTGTAACAGTATCCATTCTCTATAGTTGCCACTTGTCATTTCATTTCTTGATAAGGTAAACTGATGAAGCAGCTTAAACTTCTCATCATAAGTCATCTGCTCCAGCTTTTGAATACGTTTTGATTCTGGGCCGGTCCACCAAGCTTCATGTGTGACACATTGTACATTTTCTTTTACTTTACTATACATACTTACTATACTATATAATTATCTATATTTTTGTTTCAATTTTCTTAAATTGACAATAATGCTGAAAGTATCAGGCTTTCCATTCCCTGTGGAACCCCAGTACAATACCATTCAATGAAATTGCCATTAGGTTAACAACAATTTGAGAACGGACAGGCATCCAGTCTGAAATTTATCCATGAGATATTAAGATGTTACGAGATATTAAGTCAAGCACTTTACAGAAATCTAAGACTATTACATCCTTGACAAGTCATTCTATGAAGCAAACAGTCTTCTAAAACAGTGAAATTTTTTTTTGACAAGACTTATTTTTCAGAAAGCCATGTTGATTGGCATTAATTTTATTCCCATCTTTTAGTTCTTCATTAGTCAAATCCAAACTGGTGTTTCCATTTTTACATTAAATATGAAAATTTATTTGTTAGCTATGTTATGGAAAACTTTTTCTTTTTTTATATAAATACTGGAAAAAGCAGGCTTTTATCTTCTCTCACTCTCTCCTCCATTTTAGGAGTTACAGTTCTTGAAGGGCCTATTTATGCAGTGGGAGGCCATGATGGTTGGAGCTATTTGAATACAGTTGAGAGGTGGGACCCTCAAAGTCAGCAGTGGACATTCGTGGCAAGTATGTCAATTGCCAGAAGCACTGTTGGAGTAGCAGCATTAAATGGCAAGTGAGTAGGGTATTCTTATACAGTGAAAACACGTGTCTTAGAAGGATGAATAACTGTGACAGACATTAGGAAAAAACTTCTATTATATTGCAGTAGAGGTTGTCTTTTAAATAAGGGCCGACACAGTTGGGCATACCCTCCTATATCTCCTGGCTTTCTCATTTATCTAAAATAAGTAAGTTATATATTTCTTCTATATTCCTTAAATTATTCTAAATTCCTTAAATATTCATATCAAATTATTAAGAACAAGAAATCTATGTGTGTATAATATAAACCAAGGAGATACAGGAGAATGTTTTCAAAGTGCTGTTCTGGACAAATTATCAGCTGACATATGAAATTTGTTTATGTTGTATGTGCCAATTCTAGTTAACCAGGTGAGTCTATCCACCTAATATAGTCATGCATTCAGTGATAAGGTTTGTTATATGTGCATTTTCACTTTCAAAAATTTTTCTTATAGATTATATGGCATTTATTTTAAAACAGTTTACAGTAATGCAAAATTGCGTTGTACTTGTTGCTCATCATTTTTTAAGTTTCTTTACTTTTATTTACATGGCTAAAAAGAATATGGCGTGAATTGTAATTTAGAGGTAGGGAAGAAATTCATCACACAATTTTAGATATTTTTGTGCAGACATCTGCAACTAAGCCAGTCACAGTAACCACCCCTAATGATCAATGGAAGAAATATATACTTTTAAGGTATCTTTTATCTGACCTTTTTTTAGACATTTTCATTAAACAGTATGAATTGTGCTCTGTAAGTACCTATTTTCGTCCTCTAATAATAAAGGAAGACTAGATAGTCTTTCTTAGATTTTGACTTCTGCCTTGTTGATGTCTT